AATGTTCATTCATATTTAAATATTTTCTTTTTATTTTGATATCTTTTAATTTTTCTTATGGCACGTATACTCGCAAGCTGTATTTTCGAAAGGCCCTTTACAATCTGCAGGGCACTTAGGTTTTCTAGCCTCCTTCATATCATTTTTATTTTTGTAGGCATCTAATTCCCTATACGTGTTCTCTAATTCTTTCTTAATTTCTACATTTTCATCCCAGGATACTGGGGTAGATTTTTCAGCATATAGCTGCCTATTTAATTCTTTTATTTTTAAATTCAGGAAGTTCTTCTGACCTCCTCTCCTTTTTCTCTTATTATTTTTTTTTTTGTCTTAGGCATTTATTTAATTATGTATTTAATTAATTAATTAAAAAAATTTTTTTTGTTTAAATTTTGTGGTATGTGTATAAAATTGTTACATGTATCCCTACCTAGGTAAAAAAAAAATTAAGACCCGCAGCTAGAAATTGCCTGGTCTGTACAATTATTGTTAATTATAAGTTTTTGCATCGCAGATGCATATAAAATAATAAAAAAAAATTTAAGATGTGCACTCTTGGAAGCGCTGTCGGTTCAATTCTCCAGGGTCGCTGATGCTCCTTCGCTGGCGTAAGGGGCGGCCTACCCCTCACACTTGTTGTCTCAGCTGCTGATGTCCTGGGCCTATGGGCTCAGGCGGTACCGGTGCCGGTCATCGCACAGGTTTTTCCGCAGGTGCCTTCGCACCTTGGCGTTCCAGTCGCCCAGCGCAGTCGTCTTAGGGCACACTTTGTTTCTTCTTGGAAACTGCTTTGGAGGTGGAGGTGTTAATTTTCTTTTGTCGTCATTAATTTTCTTAATCACTGAGTGAGCTGGAGTTATTGGCTTTTTATTTACAAAACTTGAATTAAGAAAATCAAGTTCTTTTGTAATTTTTTTTTGGGCTGTTGCCCAGGGCGGTGCTGGTTTGTTTTTATATAATAGCCACTTTTATTTTGATATCTTTTAATTTTTCTTATGGCACGTATACTCGCAAGCTGTATTTTCGAAAGGCCCTTTACAATCTGCAGGGCACTTAGGTTTTCTAGCCTCCTTCATATCATTTTTATTTTTATATTTTTTAGTTTGGTTTGCATGTCTCTACGTTTTGCCATAACTCCATCTCTACTCACTCAGATTTATATTTCCAGTTGCAGTTGTTCCTTCCTAGGTCCTCCAGGACCAGTGTCACGGTCGCCATGTTATATTATTGCCATCATATTTTTATAATAATTAATAGTCACTTTGTTTTACTTTTCCATGGGCAGATCTTTATTATTGAATTGTCCAATTGATAATGAATTTCAGTTAGCTATTTGCGGCTGCGCTGCCTGCAAACATTGGCAGCGGCCGTCATATATATCGAAGTATATGCTCGCAATTGTATTTGTGCTGGTAGCACTGAGAGCGCGAGGGAAGTTGTACATGCATGCCTTGTATGTGTCTGCACTCAGGCCATGGGAATATGCTGACACTAGCACTTCCCATAACTTGGGCTCTGAGGCACATTCATATTTCGGCTGGCCGCAAAAGTTTAGCGGCCGGCGCTTTTGTATTTGTTTAGGTACACTGTAATACAATGTTGGTGTCGGTACAGTGGGTACTCGCTACAATGATACATGCATACTACAGGACAGACCCTATGACTCGACCAACCACTGAACGTGGAATCGTATAACGATCAAATATTTACTTAATCTAAGCTTCCAACAAACTAGAAGACAGCTTAGCGAGCAAATTACTACAGACCATTTAAATGACGAAGAAAAGCAAGGGTTGCTTAAAATTTGAGAACATTTTCAAGACTTATTTTACGACGATGCAACACCTCTTACATTCTCCAACACGATCAAGCATTCCATCCCGAATGCTGAAAATATCCCCATCACGTAAAAGCGAACAGATATCCCTTCATACATAAAGAGGACGTCCGGAAAAAATATCTAAAATTATCGATCAGAATATAATAAGAAACCGTCGTTTTCCTTGGGGCCCTCCTGTTTGGATGGTCCCTAAAAAAAACGAACTCTCCTGACCAAAAAAAAATGGAGACAAAACCGACAAAACCGTCACGGATAGGTACCCTATCCCTAATATTATATTAACAACATTCTCGACAACATTGGCCGGGCAAAATACTTTTCCAATATGGACTTAGCTAGCGGGTTCCACCAAATCCAGATCGGTCCCAGGGACATGGCCAAAACGGCTTTTTCGGTAGGGATCGGACACTATGAATTCACAAGAATCCCGTTTGGTCTAAAAAACGTAACAGCTGCATTCCAGAGGGTTATGGACAATGTAATAGGATAACTAGTATTAGACATCTGCCTGGGCTATATTGATGACATAATTATATTCTCTGCCTCTCTTCAGAAGCACTTAATGGGCATAAAATCGGTATTTCAGAGATTACGTCAAGCTAATTTAAAAATCCAAATTACCAAATCAAATTTCTTGATTAAGGAAATCTACTTTTTGGAACAAGTGATAACCCAAGACGGTATCAAACCAAACCCCTTCAAAATAGCAGCAGTCAAAATTTCCCATGTCCCAAAATGACGTAATAGCCCTGTTGGGCTATTATAGAAAATTCATCAAAGACTTTGCAAGAACAACAAAACCTATTTTCCGACAACTTAGATGTGGCAAATCCGTCATCATAGACTCAGAATTTACAGAGGCATTTGAGATTTGCAAAACCCTGTAACAAACAACACGATTTTACAACATCCAAACTTTAAAAAAACCATTTACCCTCACTACGGACGCAAGTAACTTTGCTATAGAAGCCGTTCTCTCTCAAGGTCTGACAGACCAATCTGTTTCGCAAGTAGAACCTTAAACTAGACAGAAACCCGCTATTCCTCAATAGAGAAAGAGATGAAAGCTTTAATTTGGGCGGTTTAGTATTTTCGCCCATATCTGAATGGCAACAGATTAAAAATTATCACCGACCAAAAGTCTTTAGTATGGTTGCAAAACTTTAAGGGCCAAAACCCAACACTGCTCCGATGGAAACTCACCCTTACGATACATTGAGTAGAATTGAGCCAAACACCTACCGACCAGACCCTTACCCTATATCAAAAATTATCCCAGGTACAGCAAAGATTAAATTCTTTACTTCCCGACAATGGGAGTAGTAGGCCCAGAAAGGGTTTAATTACGGGGTAGGCCACGTGGTAAAATAGTTTCGGGAAATATGGACGCCAACGACGAGGCGAAAATAAACAAAGTCCTAAAACGCTTACGTGAAAATTCCAAACTAAATAATATTTTTCAGAATGAAACACTTGTAAGATTTGAAGAAATCTAAATATATAATCAAGGAACAAGAACTTATAACCAACTTTATGAATTCCTATCAAATTAAAAATTTTTAAACAATTGGATGAGGAGTATAAAAACATTCAGCTTTATTATTACTATACAACCACCTAAATACAATAATATTGCGGAAAGCCTACTTTTCACCAAATAAAAATTAGTCCCAAAATACTTACTAAATTCAGTTGAAATGGAAAGAATAAAAATTTTACTAGCAGACCAAGAAGTAGAAGTTTAGTTGGAACATGAATTATATAATGTACTCTCATTAGAATACACCTAACAAAACACTCATATTTAACATAAAAGTTCCGATTCTGTCTCATCAATTTTACAATTACAATCAACAATTGTACCACCTTATTGCATTACCAATTAAAAAAACGATGAATGTAAGCCCACCAAATGTTATAATTAAGAATGATGTAGAAATCAATATTATAGATACACCTTGTATAAAAGAGCGTAGTACATATGTTTGCGAAACTCCTTTGACACCGAATAACACCGAAAGCCTCTACAACCTTCTGGACGACAAGTAAGCAACCTGCAGCACAATAGAAAGTGAACACCAACCACAAATCTTCGTTCCGATAAAGGGAATGCTGGTTATCCTCAACGTGGAGAACTTGAACATCTCTTCCAACTGCAACTCGAGCAAGATCTTTTGCTCATAAAATATGACAACTGTTCTATCTCCGCTAATAGGACCAAATATTTAAAGCCCGACAATACAATAATTGATGACCTTGAAGTAAACCTCTCCACATACGAACCCATAAACCTCCAGGTACTGCACCTCAGCAACCTAGAAAATGGATTGGCAGTTACCAACATGGAGGAAAGTGCCACAACTCACCTGCCAATCATATATATACTCGTCGCATTGTCAATCCTGATTACAACTGTCGCCTGGACCTTTAAAGAAAGTGAGGTAATTTTTTCACCACTCATAGTGGACCTTATTGCCACTCCCGCCATACCTTCATTATGCCCATCGTTCCAAGCTATGGGGGGAGGAGTTACCGCCGATGTCTTATTTATGACATCACCTTCACCCAAACCCTTGGGCAATGTACCACTAACGGCGATGCCTGTTATCGGATATCGGACCGCCACAGGCATCCGGCTGAAAATGCTGACCTAGGGGGTTTCGCAACACAGCTTATGTACACTACTCAAAAGCAAGCCTTCTTTTGTATTATAAACTTAAATGAAAACAAGAGAGAACGCTATAGTCGGGTGCCCCGACTATCAGATACCCGTTGCACAGGTAAAGGGAGTGCGAGGGAGATGGAGATAGAAACTTTGATCACGCATAACTTTTTAACGAATGGTCCGATTTGAAAAATTTCTTCTACATTTCGATAGGTATCGATAAACACAATAAAACTGCATTTTTACTTTTCCGAAATATTTAAATTTTTAAAATCGTATATAAGCGATTGTGGGCGTTAAAGGGGGCGTGGCACCTTTTTGAAACAAACTTGCGCTGCGTAGGAACTCCTAGAATCTGCATGCAAAATGCCAATCTTCTAGCTTTTATAGTTTCCGAGATCTCAGCGTTCATACGGACGGACAGACGGACATGGCTATATCGACTCGGCTAGTGACCCTGATCAAGAATATATATACTTTATAGGGTCGGAAACGCTTCCTTCTAGCTGTTACATACTTTTGCACGAATACAATATACCCTTTTACTCTACGAGTAACGGGTATAATCAGTCTTATAACGATACTCGCGACATACAGTAAATAAAAAAATATATGCCGCAGTGTAAAGGAGCTACATAAGGGCTGAGAGAAGTAAAATAAAATCCTTATTAGAGGTTTTATATTTGTTATATAAACCCTACGACAGTACTCTGCCGAATGAACGCACTGTAGGGGAGAACACGCCAATGCCCAAGCGTATCTTAAACCAATGAACAGCATAAAAGCAAATCTACTGCTGCCGCGATCGAGAACGAAAACGACACAGACGGTGGTGACGGTGTGCGTGTGTATGTGAACGCGGCTAGCGGCTCAACTCCTACGCAAATGCAAATGCAAACGGAGAATAATGCACTAATAAATAAATTAAAATAAATTAAATATTCTAATAAACTTTAACCAAAACCCTACATTTTCCATATTTTGCAAGTGTAAATTAAATGAAAAGAAGTTAAAAACATTACCGTGCCAAAATGCCGCAACTTGGTGAAATTATAGCCGGAATATTTTCTAAACTTTTACGTGGTGCCACATAACTAAGTCGATATAAAATTAATAATCGGATAAAAACTATGCTTACATGCTGAAATTTTATTCGAGTTAAATTTTATTTTAGTCGAGTCGCAAATACACCTATTTTGTGACGCAGAGTGGTCAATATCAGTTTAGGAAGGTCCCGTTTGGAATGTCGAATTCGCCCGGAGTTTTTCAGCGTCATATCAATGCTATTTTTCGACCTCTAACTCAGAGAGGCATCGCGTTGCACTAAATCGACGATTATCGCTTCGAGCGACGAAAGGGAGGCATTGTTGAACCTTAAAGAAATCATCAAAACATGTGAAGAGTATGGCCTAGAGTTCATACCCAATTATGCCAGAATTGCGTAACCACATGGAAGTTACAGCACACTGGGCGGATTTGTATCAATTTAAATTTTGAGAAAATGTTTAGCAGCTTGGTCTTGCGGTTGAGTCACAAAGTCAAAATCTAGCAATGTAAAGCTCAAATACTATACAAAATTATTGAGACCAAAAGTGTGGGCGTGTAATCTAAAAACGTCTCCTTCTGATAATTTGGCCAGATCAATCCCCAGATATACCCGTTATCCAAAATTTTAAGTCGTAATTTTAAAATATCGTTTGAGAGTATATTTTTCCAAATAAGGGAGAGGGGAAACTAAAACCCACAAGCTACATAAAATACTGGTGGTTGTTGAACATAAGGATGGTAACACCTTTAAAATCTGTTGGAATAAGCTGAGAAAATAATTTTTAACATTAACGTTATTTTGATAACCATTTCAGCTTAGTTTTGATAGGCTTTTAAAGTTATGGATGTTTCTTGTTTAAAATATGCTGTGAGCCGCTGTATGTATTTTGCTGTACTATATCAGACTGATCTGACTGCTGCGTCTTTAAATTTAAGATAACTAGAAGAGCTGCCGTATTTTTCATCCTAGGGAGAAATACTAATTTAGAAACACGTGGCTCATCATGCTACGGCCTCGATATGAAAGTGAAGTCAGCAAGCACATTCAAATATGTTTTAGCTCATGAGATGTTCCGCTCACAGAAGGACACTTTTGTGTCAGTCATTCGCTAACTACTTTGATCGGACACTTTTAGAATAATGTCACTAGAATCCATACTAAGTACCAAAGATGCCCCAGGGGATTCTTGGGGGCACCACCTATCGTCAATGGACGGAGTCACTGCCAGGGCGGACTACGACCAGTTCATCTTTTGCAAAGGAGCTATTAGGCGACCATCATGCGCTGCTTAGTGCTTACATTTATTTTTATAACAATTCATGTTTTTAAATAAGATATTTAAGCATTTTGCTGTTTTAGACATACTCTGGCTGATTGTGCAAAACAGCTACCCGGGTCTGGACTGCAAGGACGCCTTTGAAATAGAAATATGGCCTCGGAAAAGTGTTTCATTTTGCCAGACGCAACTTAAGAGACACCACCTTTTATCCTGCTGGAGCTACAAGACAGTATTAGTGGATGGGTAGTTCAAAAAAAATCTGTTTTCTTAATTCAGCTAAGCCAAATTTATCAATGCAAACCCTGAGTTACGAAAAATCAGACTCAAGCTCGCGAAATCGCAGAGACAGGCAAAAGGCACAATAACTATGTTACAAACTAGTTACTTATTATTTAATTTATAAACGCCACACCGGCCGGACCCCATGCAGGGCCTGTGGCAGTATAGAGGCGTGGCTGCTAGACCCTTATTGCAGCGACAAAACTGCCCAGGACGAACCTGGTCCCGTTTTGAGGTCTGCGCTATGTTTTGCCTCAGCCACACAAATCGGATGGCACCACATCGGTGCGTGTTCTTCCTTACCGGAACGAAATCACCGAGGGAATCAGGATTGCTGCTTGTGACTACAGCCGATCCTTAGGGTGTTTCTCCCCCAGAGTTTGCTTAGTGTAGCGCTTATGGGTTGCTTCGCTTGGACTTAGCCCTAGGTTCGCCAATTATTGTCGGCGGCGATAATCTCCAAAAGTCAAAGATTATGTCAAGGCGAGAGTAAATAAGAAATGTTAATCCTAATTTAAATTCCCGGGCACTTTTAAAGTAATTAAATTCTCTTTAGCTATCCCTGACCTAAGCAAAGACATTCGCCATTTTTTCCAATACAAAAATTCCAATATCTAAAGTCGTTTTTAGCAGGCTTTACGCTCCGACTGATTATTCATTTGCCTATCATGAAGGCAGCATCGGCACGCTTGGTAGAGCGCTACTATTGGCCTTGTCAATTCCTCAATTTGTTATTAAAATCCTTCATGAATTTAACCGTGTCCAAGGCTGCAAATGTGGGGATTCCACGAAAGATTTCTAATGGTGCTAGCGATATTTGTTTTTTTTTTTTTTAATAAAAATCGTTTAACTGGACGCGATTCGGAGTCTTTTAAAATGGAAGACTTATTCGGATATCTGAAAACTCGCTGAGAGATGTTGAAGCTTAACCAACAGGAGCTGCATGATCATTTTGATTAGCTGGACAAAGCTTTAAATGTAGAAAATACAGATTAGATGAGCACACACTAATCGATTGCGGGTACTTCCTTGGACATTTTGTCCAAGTGAACCGATTATGCTGTATAATCCATGCTGCAGCTAGCTTAAGGAATTTTACAACCCAGCTAAACCAAACCGCGCTCAATAATTGGCCCAGAATGGCACCGACCTTGGGAAATGCAGTCACAAATCGGCAGAAAGCATTGTGACGACCCAGCGTCACAAATAATCGCGCACTTTCAAAACGCGCGCCCAAAACGATAAACCTGGCCACACTAACTCCACCGATACATCGATAGTCGACTACCATCGCTATATTCGTGACCCGATAACGAGTTATCGATATCGGGATTCTCGACATCGACCGCTCTGGGTACTGGGTACACTCAACGGGGCCTATATAAGCAGACGCAAGACCCCAGATGAGTCACTTGCGTTCCGACGATCTTCGAGGAAACATCAGCAACAAGGAGAAATATCCGGGTAAGTGTTCTGGTAGATAGTCTTGGTATTAGTAGTGGATCCGTAAGAACTCGGTTTTTAAATCCGTTCTACGACCTGGTGAGGATCACTGGCGTCCCGGTGTGGTTTCCTAAAAAATTAGACCAGACCCAGTCGTGATCACTGAGGTTTTCCCGGTTTTCGTAATACAGGCCCACCTCAGTGAGTTCCCCCAGACGTCACGTTTCCGGCTCCCGACCCGGAAACGAAACGGATGTAGAAACGGCAGTTCGAACATAACGATCCCCGGCAGATCGAAACTAACGATGTCTTACATTCCCGAATCCCACTAGAAATCCAAGTAGATCTCTCCCAACGACCCAGAACACTACGAACCCGACGTACGCACGACGAAGCAGTCCACTTCTCGGCCCTTCCGCAGCGCCAACGCGACTCCTCGGACCTTCCGGGTCGGCCGGGTCACGACAAAAAGCAGTTCATCACTCGGCCCTTCCGCAGCGCCGAAGCTCGCACACCGTATCACAACAGCAAGCAGTTCACCAATCGGCCCTTCCGAAGCGCCGAATCGACAAAGCAAGCAGTCCCGACTCATCTATACACAACGTGTATCAACATATATTATACGAGTACTTCGAAATACACGTCTCCTTTATAGTTCTATCCCTCTGTGTCATTATTGGGGAAAGGGAGGTAAATCGATCTATAGAGGAAAATATAAATATCTGTCACGAACCCTGACCACGGCGAGCTATACCGTCTCCCAAAACAGGGTCTTTACAGTGGCGCCCGAACAGATTAAAAACAAACAGATAGAAACCTCAAAATACCAACAAAGATCGTTTACCCTCTCCCTCAACACAGCACGGATTAATAATGGCAGACAAGCTGACTCGAAGCTGGATCAGCAATTGCAACAAGGCCCAACTGGAAATCTATCTGAGGGAATTCGACGTCAAGTCAGAAACGCGGTGCGAAGACATGCGGAAAAAAATGTCGGAGTTAATCAAGAGCGGTGCCCACAGCGAAGAAACCACCAAACGTCTCCAAGACCTAGCACAGAAGCACGCGAGAACCCCATCACCAGCACCCGCCGGAATGGAGGAAAACCAGAACTTGCTACAGATACCAGACAAGCAAGAAACAAGCAACGGAAAACCGGTACCCGAGCCCAGAAAGATCGACAAAGTGGCCACAATGGGAGTAATACGAAGCTGGGGAGAATTTTATGACGGCACGGGCGACCTGACAGAATTAATTTGTAGAACGGAAGAGCTAGCAAGTGCCTATGGGATAGAGCTCGACCACGCAGCAGGAGCTATGGTAATTTTGCTAAGAGACTGTGCCCTGGACTGGTGGCACACCCATCCTACCCCAATGCCATCGTGGGACAACTTCAAAAAGAATTCCTGGAACACTACAGACCAGCGAACCACGAAGAGAGAGCGATGGAAAACATAACACGCAGGCACCAGGGTACAAACGAGCTAGCAAAGGACTACGCGCGGGAACTCCGGAAGACTATGAGATTTTCCACACTCACGGAAGAAAAAAAACTAGAGAGGGTTTACCGGAACAGTCGAGTGGAATTTAAAAAGTATGCTAAACGGGGAGAATGCCGATCCCTAGCAGAATACCTGCAGTTAGCAAAAGAATTCTAGGCCCTCCAGCCACAGAAACGCACAACACAACAAACACCGGAAAATCACTGGACACAACAGCACCGACCGGGAAATTTCGAGAGACAACAGCAAATATCTGGAAATTTCGAGAGACAACAGCAAACATTTGGAAATTTCGGGAGACAAACAAGAAACCAATGGAGACCCCAGGACCCACCACAAGCACTGAACGGAGGAATCAAAAGATCATTCAGCATGAAAAATAGATGTTCAAGGTGCAAAGGAGAGGGACACATAGGAAAGCAGTGCAACAACACACCAAGAATACATTGCTGGGTATGCGGACATGATGGAATACGCACGATCCATTGCTGTCGCCGGTTCAAAACGGCGGGAAACGCCAGAGGCCCATGGGATCAGAGCGGGCACCCAGGGCAAACACCACACACGCAACAGCAATAAACTTCAACGGCCGACGACTACTTGCACAAGTTAATATAGGCAACACAGGAGTTCGCGGGGCCATAGACACGGGAGCCACAAGAAGTTTCATCGCCAGGAAACTAGCCAACAACATGGGATAAGGAAGCAAGTAACCAAAGCCATTAGACTAGCAGACGGGACAAACAGAACGGTCACAGAGGCACTGGAAGTACCAATACATCTCGGGAACCAAACAAGCATGACGACGCTGCTAATCTTCGAAGAGGTAATCGGCGACCTTCTACTGGGGATAGACTTCTTGGAACAATGTAACGCGACACTACGATGCGGAGGCATCACAGCAAGAATAAACATGAACAGAAGAAACAATAACAGAAACAAAAAACAGAAGAGCAACGGCATCGGATCACTAGCGACAGGCGATCTATCCAGAATGCCAGAAGAAGAAGCTCACGGAGCCGAGGTCGAAGAAGACATCTGGATTAAACAGAAACTCCTAGACTTGGATAGAAATCCCGAAACATGGCCAGATTACGCGATAATCAACGGAAAACTATACAGACATCTACCGTCATGGGCCACAGACAAGGACACACAGCCATGGAAACTATGCGTTGCGAAAAGCCAAAGAGCACGAGTACTGCGAGAAAACCACAGCGAAGCAACAGCAGGACACCTAGGGGTCAGAAAAACAAAAAACCGGATGAAGGCGACACCAACAACCAAGGAAACGACCACAGCAACAACACGGCAAACGAAGGCGACACCAAAAACCAAGGAAACAACCGCAGCAACAACACGGCAAAGAATGGCAACAACAACAACCAAGGAAACGACACGGCAAACAACGGACAACGAAGCACGACCCCCCATGCCCAGGACAACAACCGGCACAAAAAGGCACGAGTTAGCGGATTTTCAACGGCCACGGACGAAATGGGTAACCCCGCGGCGGCTCTCTTCCCTCGACCATACCGGAATAAAACCGATCAACCTATCTGAGGAATGTGAGGAAGAGTGGGATCCAAAACCGCGGGGATACAATGACCACAAGAAAAGGGTAGAAGAAGCGGTCGTCCGTCTAAAGGCAACCTGGCGCAGCGGCACTTTCAAAACGCGCGCCCAAAACGATAAACCTGGCCACACTAACTCCACCGATACATCGATAGTCGACTACCATCGCTACATTCGTGACCCGATAACGAGTTATCGATATCGGGATTCTCGACATCGACCGCTCTGGGTACTGGGTACACTCAACGGGGCCTATATAAGCAGAAGCAAGACCCCAGATGAGTCACTTGCGTTCCGACGATCTTCGAGGAAACATCAGCAACAAGGAGAAATATCCGGGTAAGTGTTCTGGTAGATAGTCTTGGTATTAGTAGTGGATCCGTAAGAACTCGGTTTTTAAATCCGTTCTACGACCTGGTGAGGATCACTGGCGTCCCGGTGTGGTTTCCTAAAAAATTAGACCAGACCCAGTCGTGATCACTGAGGTTTTCCCGGTTTTCGTAATACAGGCCCACCTCAGTGAGTTCCCCCAGACGTCACGTTTCCGGCTCCCGACCCGGAAACGAAACGGATGTAGAAACGGCAGTTCGAACATAACGATCCCCGGCAGATCGAAACTAACGATGTCTTACATTCACGAATCCCACTAGAAATCCAAGTAGATCTCTCCCAACGACCCAGAACACTACGAACCCGACGTACGCACGACGAAGCAGTCCACTTCTCGGCCCTTCCGCAGCGCCGACGCGACTTCTCGGCCCTTCCGCAGCGCCGAAGCGACTTCTCGGCCCATCCGCAGCGCCGAAGCCCGCAGCAAGCAGTTCATACCTTGGCCCTTCCGTAGCGACGGGTCACGACAATAAGCAGTTCATCAATAAAAAGTAACTATAAGCATTTTCAGTATCTTAGGTAAAGGTTCAGAGGAAGTGTACACACTTACGGTTGAAGTGGATGGCATCAAATTTGATGCACCATGTGACACGGGTGCACCTTGTAACCTGATCCCTGTAGATCTATTTCGAGAAATGAAAAGGCCCAAGTTAAAATCTTGCGAAACACCATATGTAAATTATAATGGTGACCCGATAAGGATTCTGGGTGAGTTTGTTGCACAAATTAAATTCAAAGACACCTATGCCAGTTCTATTTTTGTCACGACAGTCTAAAAATATGCCTCTATTAGGGAGATACTTTTTACGAGCATTCAACTTCGAATTATGTTAAGTCAATGCCATAGAGAGCAGTGAAAGCACTAAAACGCTAGTAGATCAAATTCAAAACGAGTTTTCAGATGAATTAGGAGCGTATCACGGTGAAACGGTCAAACTTCGACTTTCGGAAGAAGCTAAACCTATCTTTCACAAGCCGCGACCCTTACCAATCATGTGGAAGTCAAAGGTAGAGCAAATGATAAGAAAGCTGGTAGACCAAGGCATGCTTGAGCAAGTATATAGTTCAGATTGGGGGACCCCTCTTGTTCCCATACTGAAACCTAATGGTGAATTAAGGGTTTGCGCAGACTACAAAGTTACCATTAATAAATATCTTAATGAGTTTAGGTACCCGCTTCCAAGAATTGACGAGATATTCGCTGCATTACAGGGAGGCCAACGTTTTACAAAGCTGGATTTATCTCAAGCATACAATCAGTTATTACTTGATCAGGAGTCTCAGTCATTATGCACGTGGAGCACACATGTAGGAATCTTTAAGGTCAAAAGATTGCCATTTGGAATCAAAACTGCAGCATCCATATTCCAAAAGACAATGGAATCATTGCTTCGAAACATTCCTTATGTTGTCGTTTATCAAGATGACAAACCCATCACTGGTTTAGATTTGAAATCTCATGTGGACACATTAAGAAAGGTTTTAGGAAAGCTTAAGTCAGCAGGGTTACACTTAAATAAAGAAAAGTGAATGTTTTTCAAAAACAAAATAACATATTTAGGGTTCAATATTGACAAGGACGGTCTCAGCAAAAACAAGGAACGAGTTTCGTGTGTGCTGAACGCACCAAATCCAAGAAACATTTCTGAAGTTCGTGCATTCACCGGAATGGTAAACTACTATTCCACGTTCATAGATAGATTTTCCGAGAAAATGGATCCGATTTATCAGCTTCTCAGAAAAGGTGTAGAGTTTGAATGGACGAATCAATGTCAAAATGCCTATCAACAGATTAAAGAAGATGTTGCATCTGATCATGTGTTGGTACACTTAGACATAAATTGGAAATAGTTTTAATCACAGATGCGTGTAATACAGCAGTAGCAAGTATTCTTTCACACAAGTTCGTAGATGGTTATTTAAAACCAATAGCTTTCGTTTCGCGAGACCTTCAGTCGAGTGAACGACATTACAGCACTATGGAAAGGGAGGCGTTAGCAATTGTCTTTTCCGTTAACAAACTTCACCAGTATCTACTGGGCAACAGGTTTACGTTGCGTACTGATCACAAGCCTCTACTTAATCTAAGTGTAAAGGATTGCCTGTAATGGAGTCAGCTCGAATACAAAGATGGGCTTAAAATTTATCAGGGTTTGATTATAGTGTAGAATATGTGAAGGGATCAGTGAATGTGGCAGACAGTTTATCGAGAATTCCGCAAGTCCCATTACCACAGACTGAAGAGTGCAGTTATGTGAGTTTCGTAACTCAACATAATCATTTAAATTTAAATTTTCAATGCATAGCCCGACTGTCCCGTCGTGATTCTACATTGTCAAAAGTAATAAAGGCAATAGAACATGGGACCATTCAATCCTTGGTCAGGAGATGAAACAAGAGTTTCATCCCTTCATTCAGAAACACACAGAGCTATCAATTGAATACGGCTGTTTAATGTGGGGATATCGTACCATTGTACCCAAGAAACTTTATAAGGGAGTTTTTGAATCTTTACATAGATCGCATTTAGGCATTATTAAAACCAAAGCATTGGCCAGAAACTACGTATGGTGGTCTGGGTTAGACAAGGACATAGAGTACATGATTAGCAAATGCGATCCATGTCAAAAACTCATGGATAGTCCCAGCAAAAGCGTTTTAATTCCATGGAGCCCTGAAGACTCAGTATGGAAACGAATTCATGTCGACTTTGCTGGGCCTATCAAAAATCATTACTTCATGGTTGTGGTCGACTCGTATTCGAAGTTGTAATCACAAAACAAATAACAAGTAACTTTACAGTGGAAAAGTTAAGAAAAATGTTTTGTAGGTATGGATTAATAGATGTCTTAGTCACTTGTAACGGGCGTCAATTTACATCGCAGGAGTTTAAAACTTTCATGGAAATAAATGGAATAAAACTGGTTTTAACCGCTCCAGGTCATCCTGCCACGAACGGACAGGCAGAGATTTTCGTTAAGGTCTTAAAAAAATCCATTCTAGCAACACTCGATAAGGAATGTCACGGAAGTTCAGAAACCATTACAAACAGATTCTTAGCAGACTACCGAAATTTACCTCATTGTACAACGGGAGAAACCCCAGCAAAGCTTTTCTTTGGTAGAAGTCTAAAAACTAAATTTGATCTCATGAGTCAGTCAGTTCAAGAATTTTAAAACACCAAAAAAAAAGCATAAAAAATTATAAAGGGTAGCGTCTAGAATCATTCAATCAGGGACAAAAAGTATACATTCGGGATTACACGAATCCAAATAAGGCATCTTTGTCACAGGCAACAATAGAAAAGAGTTTAGGATCCCGAACATATTAGTGCAACATTGCTCACAACCACAGAATCATAAAGCGGCAAACTGATCAAATCCGTGGATAACACAAAACGGATGGAAAATACGGATCAGGTTCAAGAATGTGCACAAGTGTGGAATAATGCTGATACACAAAATGAGGAATCCGAAGTATGTGTAGATTCTTCCTCTAGAAACCCAGTTAGGAGTATAACACCCAAAAGAACACTTAGACCCCGATTGGAGGGAAAGTTCGTTAAGCAATGAATTGAAATTGTAAGCATTGAAATTGTAAGCATTGAAATAGGGAATCATTAATGAATTTAACTTGTAAGCATTGAAAATATGAAGAAAACCTTTAGAACGGACATGTTATATAGCACACATTTAGTAAATATCGTCAGTTAAGCTTTTGATCCATGTCTTGGCCTGTGTAATCGATATAGGAGAACTTGGCACTAAACAGTGACGGCCACACTTTGAACAAAGCCATGCTGGAATACATTACAGTATCTATCCCATACCTTGAGGCTTTGACTGCCAAATACAAGTTGTTTTAAGGGGTTATATACCTTTTTGAGCGAACAAATTAAGGGAACTTTGGATTTTTTTTCAGGTGTGTAGCAATTATTTTGTTTTGTTTTTGAAAAAATATAAATAATTTACGAAGTTATGGCAATTCTCTCGGAACCTTATTTTTTTTATAGCGGCTTGCGGTGACCACGATGGAAGTCCAGCAGGTCAATTGAAATCAAAAAACCAAAAAAAAATTTATTAGTGTAGTATTATTTCCAGTTCGTGAACGATTATTTTCAAGAATATTTGGTTTTTTCTGCATACAGTAACAATTTTTCCAAAAAGTTGATTTTTCGAGTTCTAAAAATTTTATTAAAAAATTCTGATCTGCAAAATCAAAATTGGCGCATAAAAACCGAATCGTTCACGAACTCGGCACAATCATTACGAATAATAAAAAAAAAATTGAAGAAGATCGATCAAATAGTTCTTGTGCAATCGCGGTCACAGCAAAGACACTTTTGGAAAAACACGACTTTGACATAATCGCATTTAAAGTTTTACGTTGAGTATATGCAACTATTGAAGTCGAGCAGACAAAACGCTGTTTTCCTATCGAACTATTATTCGGATCTCTATTAAAATTTGGGAAAATGTTCTCTAGGGGGTATACTTTAGTATTCAATAAAAAAAAATTTGTCGTTTTTTTTTTTTTTTTTAAAAGGTGTATAACCCCTTAATAACCACATCAAAAATGTCCACAAGTGCAAAAACTGTACAGCCAACCAAACGTAACGTTACCTTCACCTTTGACTCACCCCTATCTTATTTTCAAAGAGAGTTTGAGCTTTAAGTATTACACATTGTACTTATACACCCAAATATACATATGTTAAAGAGGCTGTAAATGAAACAAGCTTCTAACTCTGTTGAGTTGGTTTTTCAAACTGATTTTATTTCTTAAAATCCTAGCTTAGGTAGCTAACATGAGAATTGAAAATCCTTATCTCTAGATCCACGGATCGGTATATTCCCGACCGCAGGAAACCTTCGATCGCACTTATCTTTAAACATGTGGTGACCACTCGCAGGAGGTCATATTACCCACCAAGCGTTCTAGGTACCTAGTTGCAGGACATCTGCAGGCCAGAAGCAACAATTTGGTGTAGTTACAATTTTAGTACCTAAACATAGACAGGCTCTTATCTCTATGATATTAATATATGTGTGTTCTTTCTGAACTCACACCTGGCTGATGAAAGGAACGCTGCTCACTGCGTTGGTATATGTACTCAATGCAAAGGATATACAACTTTTCGGGTGCTTTTAGACACTGGACACTATGCGCTTAAATACTCGTCTCCGAAATATCATCGGTTAGGGCTGAAACGACAAGGGGCTTCAGCACAGAGTCCCACAGCATTAAAGATCAAGAATGATCTTCCGCTAGCAGATTTAATGTTCAACACCAACTCAGAGGTTGATATTCTGTTTGGAAGTAACTATATGTCGGCTGCGCTTTCTGGAAAAAATAAATTTTACGATCGTGGTAAGATTATTACTGTTATTTTTGGATCAACAACAACTCTTAGCATATGCAACCTCACTTTGTCGACACTCGGCATTGATGCCTTCCTCCTAAAAGCTTGAGAATGTTTGCGTAAGCATTCCACAGGTCTAAGGTTGAAGCACACTTCTGCGAAGAAGACGTACCAGCGGCCATGAGAAAATTAAAATAAAGTATTTAAATTCTGATGGACGTTGATGCCCGACAGTACAAACAAGGGCCAACGAACCAAGCACGGCTGTTACGCGCGGCCCTATTATCAATTTGGCAAAAAGCGAGTTCGCGAGAAAATACATAAATTAAATAGAGACAAGACACAAGAAAATAAAAGGCACAATTAAGAAAAACAAATGAGTTAAAATATTAGTTTTTAGTAACGGGATAGAAGTGGAAATGCAGATTAGATGGTAAAGGTTGTTATAAGTATTACATAGAACGCGAAAGGGCTCGTGCAGACAAAAATTTGATGAACATCGTGGCAAATTTAGAGGATATAATTCGTGTTAGTCTAACAGGAACATTGAAAGTTAGGCGGTTTACAAGTTCGCAGAATCAATACACCTCTTATAAGATTATGCATAAAAATAGTACCAAGCATTTTCTACGATTTACAAGTGTAGGTAAATTAAGCAACAGTAATCTACTCTGGTAGGAAGGTAGCCTTACATTTTGATCCCAGTTCAAACTACGAAGGCAAAAGAAGAAATTTTTTTGTACCGACTCAATACGGTCAATGTGCACTTGATATTGTGGACTCCAAACCGACGAACAATATTCCAAAATAGGACGGACAAGTGAGGTAAATAATAATTTGGTCGTATAAGGGTCATCAAATTCTTTTGACCAACGCTTTATAAAGCCAAGAACACTCATGGCTTTATTAACGGTGGACATTATGTGGCAGTCAAATTTAAGTTTAGGGTCAAGAAGAACACCTAAATCGTTAACTGAATATATACGGTCGAGTGACGTATTTTCAAGAAAATAACTAATAAACGTAGGAGTACCCCTATAAAAAGTCATGACGTTGCATTTAAGGTAGTTCAACTTTAAAAGGTTGTACTCACACCATTCATGAAAACAATCAATATCTGACTGTAAGTTAAATCCCGACGCTATATCATTATATGATAAACAAAGCTTAACATCATCAGCATACATTAGAACACGAGAATGAAGATCGTTGATAAACAAAGTAAACAGCAAAGGGCCCAGATGACTTCCCTGAGGGACTCCAGATGTCACGTATATCAATTTTGAAACAGAATTCTTGAATATAACCCTCTGAGTCCTACCACTCAAGTAACTTGAAATCCAAGTTAATAGATTACCAGGAAACCCAAGCAGATCTAATTTGAATAAAAAATAGAGTGGTTGACAGAGTCAAACCCTTACTAAAATCTGTATATATAACGTCAGTCTGCATTTTTTTCTGAAATCCATTTTTTACAATAGATGACAATTCAAGGAGGTTGGTGGTGGTCGATCTTCGCTTAACAAAACCATGCTGACACGGTGATATAAGCGAGGAACATAAATGTTGCAAATGAGAAGTGATAATACGTTCAAATGCTTTAGGAATTGCCGACAATTTAGAAATACCTCTATAATTCTTGGCATCAGCCTTCGCACCCTTTTTATGAAGTGGAATAATAAAAGAGTCCTTCCAGATAGTAGGAAAAACTGATGATGAAATAGACAAATTAAAAAGTTTAAGAATCGGTTTACAAATGGTTGACGCACAAAACTTGAGCACACATCCAGGAAGTCCATCTGGACCGGGAGAATAAGTCGGCGTTGTTGTTTCTAAATCTATTAAGAGAGAGTTTTCAGTAATTAAAGGGAAAAATACAATTTGCCCTATTTAAGGGTAGTTAGAATTTGACCAAGCTGTCGAGCTATAAACAGTTTGGAAAAACTCAGCAAATAAATCAGCAATTTCAGAATCCGTCGATGCCTCCATTGAGTTTAGACGTACCGATGAAGGCAATGCCGATGACTTACGCTTGGCATTAACAAAGTTGTAAAACTGTTTCGGATCATTTGAAAATTCAAATTTACATCGATTTAGATACATAGAATAGCAATGACTGTTGAGAACATTAAAATCCGATCGAGCCACTACATATTTCGAAAAATCTGATGGCTTACCCGATTTTTTATACTTTTATAAGTATTTGTTTTAAGGTTTTTAAGTCTTTGAAGCGCATTGGTAAACCAAGGAGGCCTGTTTAGGTTTAAAGGAAACCTATCAGGAACGCATTCATTAAAAAAAGTATTTAACGCTATATAGAATAGTTCAGTGGCACTTTCAATGTCTGTACAATTGTACAAGTCTGTCCAATTATAATGAGAAATCATATCGTTAAGTTTATTATAGTCACATTTACGAAAACATCTCATTTTAGTTGGGGGCACTAAAGGAGAGAGGGTATCAGAGCAGGGAGGCAAATTGTCAATTCCATTGTTGGATGATATCGGTCTTCAGGTACAACAAGAGCGTCAATTCTACATACCGTGACCTCGGACGGGTCTGAAACAAACACAAGATCTAATTGTCTATTTAAAGAATTTCGTATAAAGCTTACTTGCTGTAACGATAATTCTAAAAGGCCATCTACAAAATCATGGGCAGATAAAGGTATAGCGACAAGTGAGTCAGTGGAGGAGACCAAGAAATATCAGGTAGATTAAAGTCACCCAAAACAATCAAAAGGTCTCTGTTAGAAAGCAGGATAGTACGGATTTTATTGCGGACAGATGGTGCTCATAAATTACTAGATCAGAGCCAGGTGGAATATAGGAACATGTAACAAAAATAGATAAAGATTGTAAAGAAACTTTCACACTTACAAATTCAATTTCGTTTGGGATATGAGTGAGAATTCTTTCGGATGTTAGGCTAGACAATCCAGTTTGTTTCTGTATAATCATGTTATCAGAGACTTAAGTTGATGCTTTACCCTCTAGCCACGTATGTGTTCATACATAACGGAATATATGGTCGGAAATGTCTTTCATAAATAACGGAATATATGGTCGGAAATGTCTCCTCAATTTGTTACTAACAAGGGTAATAAAATCAAGCATTTACAACAGTTTATACGTAACACAGATTGCTTACAGAAAACAAAATAAAAAATGAAAAGCGTAAAACAAAAACATGATCGTTCAAAATGAATTGCGAAATTTAATACTTAGGGAAACGAACTCCAGAGATCTTTGATCGATATTGTTTTCTAGCACTTTCACAAACCTTTTCGAAATTAGGAGAGAAGGGTTGTCATCTTCCAAGATTAAAATATTTCCTAATATTCGCTTATCATTTTCCTTATGCTAGCATACAGAAAAATGTATTTTTCATTTTTTTCTTAAGTTAATAAAAATAAAAGGTTTTATAAATCAAAACTTTAATAATTTAAGTGATAAAAAACCCTTTAAATTCCCGCGCGGTGAACAACAAATTTTACTCATCAACTTTGGTTTCGGTGAAACCATTCTGGTAGCTCTGTATGCGCTTACATTCTTGTAAAATTACAGCCAAAAGATTTATTAAAACTATCGGATAAACACAGTTATCTCTAGTATATAATATGTTTCGATAGTTCGTTTTTGTAGTCACTAAAGTATGTACTCAAGCAAGTCGGACGTCTATTTACTCAAGCGAGTACATATTCAAGAGGTTATGGGCCCAGGGCACACACATACATACACAAGTATGGGCCACGCGGGTTTTGAGTAAAGAAAATTTCAAGAAGTATTAAAATAGCAGCAGCTCTTGAATTACGAGTGCAAGCAGTGAGTTTGGAATTGAAATCGGATCGCTACACGGAAGCTTCAGAATGAGTGCGTTATACCAAATCGACAAATTTTAAGAAAAGAATGTACTTGTACACGCGGAGCTATGGGACGTAGCGTCAGGCGCGTTAAAAATGGAAGGTGTTGGTGAAAACAAAAGAAGCAAACTCCAAGTTCTCAAAACTAGTGCAGCTTATTTGGAGCTCTGGTCGCGGATAGCTTTTCACAGTGGTTGGGCTTGTATGGAGCTGCTTCTGGTGGTGATATCCCTATGAAATTTTGTCCAAAATTTTATAAAAATGTTTTAAACATAAACTAAAAAAATTGTGTACATCGGCCCACTATATCTTATAGCCCCCATACAAACGGATTGTACCACTTTTAATAAAATTGTGTTTTCAAGACTTATTTTTAATATTTATTGTGTGATTGTTGGTGAAATCTTAGTCCCCAAAAGTAAAAAAAAATAATTAATTAATAAAATATAAAAATTATTAATCTAACAACAAATGCACACCGGGTAACAATTTGGTTTTTTTAGTGCAGGTAAGAGTCTTTGCCCCGTTATAAAATGGGTCTGAGCTTGAGAACAATCTATTCACCAAATCCCTGTTTTTTCCAACTCTTGACGTTTTCCTAGTGTGGTGTTCTCTAATTTGTTTAATGTCCTTATTTTTCGATTCAGCAGCTTTTCAGACAACTCTCCGATCGAAACAAGCGCATGTCTGATAATTTCGGAACATGAACTTTGTAAACTGATGGTGGGAGGTAGTACCATGAGTACAGCATTCTTGCGGTGTCAAGTGGAAAGTATCTGCAAATTTCTGCAGCCTATTTTAACACACATATTACCTGAAGGCTAGACGAACAAATTGGCATACCAACTAATTGTGGAATTTTTTAGGATCATTCATAAAATAGACACAAAACATGAATTATTTTAAATAGCTGTAACGAGAACCATTTCAGAAGTACGATTATTATACACATCTGGATTTATAGATAATAACAAATAATATTAATTTGGACACGTAGTTTACGAAATAAACGTTGTTTATGGGCGCCGATTTGATTATCTGGAGACGGATTTCTGCAGGCGGAGAGAAAGGAGTGGTCAAGCTAAAAACAGATCGATACACCCTAGTACTTAACGATGTACTATTTGTTCCTACGATGAAGGGAAATTTTATGTCCGTAAGTCAAACCATTTCTAAATGCAATTTGGTGCACCTTAACGAAAGGCACGCAAAGATTATTCATAACGGCGATTGTATATTTCAAGTAAAGAAAACTATAAACCTGCATACATTCGATGGAAAGTCCAATCAGTGTTTTGCTGCTTCTAGGGCCGATGGTATTTTAGGGCACACGGTCACATTAACTATCGCAG